TATCACATATATGTTACATATATACATGCATATATATCCCAGCTGCGTATATTATATAAGTGTAGGTATGTCATTTAGAAGGATGAAATCACAGTAGCAGTCACACAAGCACAAGACCAGTTGAATCACAGATACTCGGTGTCTTGCTCCTGGCAGTTATTCAGCAGTTTGTAAAGACAGGCTTAGAAGTTGGCTGGGTTTGGCAAAAATCCCTAAATCATTTACAATGCCGTGCAGGGGTCTGGGGGAGCTGGGTCCTAGCAGACGGGATGTTTTCCCTGTCCTACTCCTGGGAACTGCACTTCTTGGATGGGCCATTTAAGAGAAGTCGAATAGAGGCCATAGAGGAGACCACAGTTACACAATCAATTGATTTTTTTTGTAGACTTTGTTCCCCAGAGGAGAGATTGTGAAATCCCAACATTTTTTCCTATGAGTTAAACTGCAGTTGAAATTAAGGGGGGAAAAAATCAAATCAGTTGTTTTCCTGTCTTTGCAGATGTACTCTGACAGCAAAGATGAAAAATTAGCGTATTCTAATTTGAAAGATAGCCCTCAATATTGTAACTTCCTCGCTTCCATTTGAAAACGTGAAATCCTGACTGGTGGTCCAGGCCTGCGGCAATTTGGGGCAACGTCCACTAGGTGGCACTGTGTCAGAAGGTTTCTTTCATCCCTGGCTGAGATTTCTTGGGCTGCCTACTTGATTTCAGTTTTCCCGTTCCCTTCTGTTTTGTTCCCTTTTCTTGTTCTGCTATAGGGAGCTATTATCGTTTAGGCCTAAATTATGCTTACCTAAAAATGAATACTTTTTGTTACAGTTTGACCAAAAATAAGTTTATTCAATTCAGGAAGTTTCTTATCTACACTCATAGGTAACGATTCTTGTTGTGCTGGGTAGTTTATAGGAACCAAAGGTTGTGTGCATGTGTGTGTGTCAGTGCGTGTATGTGTCGCAGGTAGCTGTATCTGGGAAGGCGTATTGCTGGTCTTCTAAGGTAGGGAGTCAGCTAGATAATTAGGCTCTCCTGAAGATAACCTGGCTCCTAGGCAGGCTTCTGCTCCTGAGGTTTATTATATGATTCTCATGTAATTTTAAATGGTACTACAAGGGAAAACTTGCTTGGCTGGAAGAAGTAATGCTTCAATACGGGGCCTGGAAGCGTAACTGTGAGGTTATTCATTTGCGTGCACACGGGTGGTCCCGAGCAACGACTCATGGGGACCCCCGTCTAGCAGTCACATTTCTGAACGCCTGCTGGATATTGGAGTCCGCCTTCCGTCACATTCTGAGAAACGTCAAGGCGGTCGGTATGAGACAGGTGCTGTGCACAGGGCCAGGGCAGCCCCAAAGTTCACGCCAAACATCCCTCTTGGATCCACCGGGATGCCCCCAGGTTCTGTCTACAAGAAATCTGTGTGTGCGCACAAAAGTGTGCACTTGTGTGTGTGTGTGTGGGGGGGGTTGTCCAAGTGTGTGGAAGCCGAGGTCATCTGGGTGTGTTGTTCTCCAGAGGCCAGCCACCTTGGCTCATTAGGACAAGGCTCTCTCGTTGGCCCGGAGACTGATGATTAGGCAAGATTGACTTTCCAGAGAGCTCCAAAGCCCAGCTTGTGAGTGCTGGGATCGCCCCCTGAGTGCTGGGCTTACAAGGGTGCACTAGTGTCCAGTAGTTCTGTTTTTTTTTTTTTTAAACCAACCAACCAAAAACCCCATTGGGTCTGGGGAGATAAAACCCAGATCTTCTTGCTTGCACTATGCCAATTAAGCTGTTAAGATTTTATTTTATTTTATTTTTTAACAAAGCCCATAGACTTAGTCAAACGGTATGTTTGTGATTGCCCATAAATAGCAATTTCTTTGGGGTTCAAAAGATAGGGGTGGAGACATACATGCTACAACCTTTTTGTGTGTGTGTGACCCGAGGTCACAGATTCATCGTAGGATCCTTTCTGGTATTGAAACTTCCTGTCTGAATTTCTGGGGTGAATTGCTGTTCTTGGATACTCTAGAGAAGTAACACAAAAGCATCACCTCCTGGGACTCTAACGAGAGGTCTAATTCACCCAGGGACGCGAACCCTTTTTTTCCCCCTGACAGCAGGCATTGAAAGTGCTTCTGAGAGGTGCTATTTATTGAATTTTCTTGTAACTAAATGGGTCTGTGGCAGCTCTGACCTAGAAGCCACTGATTAAATGGGCAAGGAAAGTGCATCCCCAGTGGAGAGGGAGAAAAAAAAAAAAGTCCCTGCCCATTTAATCAGGGGCTTCAGTCTGCTGCTTTGGTTTGGTCTCAAGCCTTAAGATAATTTGCTCATTTGCCCATGTAGAAATCCTTGTGAAGGGGATTTGTTGGTCTCAGCTGAGGCTGCAGCAGCTCCTAGTCTTTTAGAAATTCAAATCAGAGACTCCAGCGCAGGCCCCCTGGATCTCAGACCATGACCTTGCATCCCTCCCGGAGGTCGGCACACAAAATCACCCTCAGGTTGAAAGTCACTGCACTGGCCACAATACCTTTTTTTTTTTTTTTAATCTCTGTGATGGGGCTGAGTGTGTAGAAAATCAGGGAGCAGGTTTGTAGGAAGGTGCCGAGCTTCTCTCCTGACAGTGGAGCAGACCAGAGCTAGAGGGGAAGTGAGGAAGTAGCTTTAAGCCTCGGAATAACTGTCTCCAGGATGCCTGCTCTAATCAGGTAAAGGTATACATGTGATATCTCTATGTAGGCATACACAATGGAAATAGAGGCGCTGTCTATGTGAATGTAGAAAGTTGTGCTCAATGTATGATAATGTCGTCTGTGTACGTATAAATACATAAGAATATATGTAGTTTTATGTGTGTTGGGGGGGCAGGAGCCAGCAAATTCCAGAAATTGGAACACCATCGTGAATCCCAAGAAGAGACCTGTGCGACCGGAGATCGGCAGGAGTGGGGAACAAAAAGCAGCCTACTGAGAGCCATTGCGCTGTTCAGTGCCCAGGGACCACCATCTGCTTAAAATTCCCTACAGTGGGCTTCAGGATGTCCAGGGACCCAGGTGCAGGCCAGGGCAGGGGCTGACCTTCTGTGACCTCTGTGAATTCCCTGAGAGTTATGAAGGACAGAATAGATTCCTATCTCCTTTGGGGGTACTGAAGGCGGAGAGAATAACAAAGAAGAATAAATATTATCTCCGGGTCGCTTCTCCCTGACAAGAACTGAGTTTGTGTTATTCCATCTACCCATTCATTGGTCCGACTGTATGGCTGAAAGCCTTTCTTTCTGGATAAGGAAAGCTCTGCTTCCATGGTCTATTCTGTAGACGTCATGGGATGGTGATGGTCAGCAAGCAGGATGCTTGTCCCAGTAAGAGGGAAATAGGACACTGTCCCGTGTTGAAGGCATCCAGGGGTCCGATTTTACTCGGCGCTCAGCCGATCGCTCACCCACCTATCTCCCTGACTGGGCTCCTCTAAAGCTGACCTTTGACCCAAGGAAAAAGCTAGAGCTCTGACCCGCTCTACCTTATAGGACATTCCATGTTAGGTAATGACTGAACCGGGTGAGGACGTGGTTCAGAGACTTCATTCCGGGGGCTCAGGTTCAGTATGCAACCTCCTCCTCCCACTCTACACGCACCGATGTAACAGAAACTAGCCACCGGGAGCCAGGCATCACTCTCGTTCCTGTGGGCTGAGCCTCTAACAGGAATTTACTCCTGAGCTCCTTAAAAAGAGGCCAAGTGCCGACCGAAGAGAGTCAGGCATTTTGTGTACTTGTTACTTTTCGGGCTCACTCTCTTTCCATCCGTGTCCCTGTTACGTGCGCCCCAGACTTTCTAGGCGTTTTGGAGGTTCAGGATATAGGAATACGAGATCCTGGGATTTTGCTTCCTCCGAGCTGCTGGCCTCATTTTGAAGCAATCCCAGTTGATTTCCCATCCGGTGGTCCTGCATATTCTTTCACCGCTTTACAAAAAGAATGAGTTTCTAAATAAAATCCTCTTTCGTTTTCAGGAATTGCAACACATTGTTGGGCCACAGCGTTTCGCAGGAGTCCCAGGTAACGATGAGTCTGTGTGAGTGTTTGAAGTCCTATGCGGCCTGTAATCTTTAAGCTCACCCGGTTCTGTCATCCCCAGCTACGATGGAAGGTTCATGGTCCGAGCTGGCCCAGCGGAGCAAGTCTGAGACTCATCAGCCTTTCGCTCATCTCACTATTAACGCTGCCAACATCCCATCCGGTAAGATATATTTATGCCCAGCCTGAAAACATGTTCCAGTCATACGCAAACCTATTCTTAGCCTGTTACCAAAACTTTTTGACCTCTAAAGGAAAAGGAGGAGGCAGACCCATCGGTTGTCCCCTACCTTGTCAATCACGTCAGACACTACTTCATCCCCGTATTCATTTTCAGGTCATGGAAGCGGCCGTTTATTTTAAGTACCTGCCAGTTGGGAGCACATAATTGCCCACAATGCCCATCTGTTTTCACTCATGAAGTAGATTAGTTTGGTATCGAACGCGCCCCCGTTGCTGACATCCTAGGTGGATGGCTTCATTCAGGAAGCCAGAGGTTTTCCCATCTAGGAAGGCGGGGGGGGGGGGCAGCAGATGACAGCAGTCCTCCAGAAACTGAGGTATTTCTGTCCCTTCTTCCCACGCTCATCCACCTACGCTCTGGTAAATATTCTGTTTAATAGACCAGAGCTATGATTACCTTTGAACCACAGCTGGTTCTATGCACTAGGCAGTTATCACATAGCCCCTACTGGCTGCTCACCACGAACGAGGCCACGATTACAAGGATCACAGTGGACATGATGGTAGGGTGAGAAGTGAACATCAGTGTTAGCGCTGCTGGGTCCTACATACTGAACACTTCCTCTGGCTGAGGTCCTGGGCTGCGCGTTCGTTCTACTAGGAGGCAGTTATCAGTCAGGTTGTTCAGACGAGAAGGCAGTGCTTCCTATGGTTTGTCTCTTGCTTCAGGTCCCTGTGGTAACGGGATTAGACGCTGACTTTCCCCTCTACTTAATTCCCATGTGGGTGCTGTACACTCTCCTAGAAGGCAGGCTACAGGGTACTTGTGGTGGGTTGGCTTTGTCAGGAGGGAGTAGTCCTAAGGTCATAGGTATTTTCCCACAAAGCACAATAGTTTGATACCCAGTGGTAAGTGCTCTAATGTCTGCTTGGGCCTGTGACCTTGGATGAAGTACCAGAATCTGTTCCTCAGCTGTAATAACGATGGGAATACTGTCCACCATGTGGGGCTGCTATAGATACTATATTTTGGGGGTGAAAGGGGCCTATTATACTCAGTAGATGTGATTTACCATTATTATTTGAACTTAATTAAGTCATTATGTAAAGCCACTTTGTTCTCCAGGTGGCTTAAGGCACTTTTTTTATTTGAGTTTAAACTTTTTTGAGTCTTTTAAATAATAAAAGTCTAATCTTTTAATAAATAATTTTGATCTATTATAACAGCGTAGGCCATAGAGAGTTATTTATTCTTTTTTTTTTTTATGGAAGATACAAGAAGTAAGAAAACAGCTCTGGAGTGGTTAGGAGAGTGGGTAGGCTGCCAGTTTTCATCCTACACATAGTTGCCTCCATAAACAGGTTCTCTGCGTGTGCCTGGGGGTGGAGCTATGCTGATTTTTCTCTGGGTGGGAAAACTAGTTTGCATGTCCACAAAGGCAATCAAATTAATACCCGTGTGCGGGCTGCGTGTGCTGTGACCGTACCCTACATTTATCTTTTCAGTTCCCTTTAAATGGCATAGGATAAACATTGCCTGAGAGCGTGTGCCAGAGCCAGCTTGGCAATGGCAAGCATGTTTTAGTCACAAAGCTCCCTCTGCAGGCACCTTGAGTCCAATCGGTGCCAAGAATCCAGGCGAAACTCCCGGTTACGTTCCGACAGCTATTGGGTTTAGGAGTCGGGGAAATGAGCCATTCTATGCGTCCTGTTTAAGAAAATAGAGTTAGTTGCTGTTGTTGGGCCAACAGCCCCTCTTAACCCATTGTTCTCCCGATGCTGGCCAGTGCTGAATGCTTCCCAGGGAGTTGGCTTGTCTTGGCCATTTTTATTTTAGAGCGCTGTTACATACTTGTTTATACACAGGGAGACAGAGTCCCAGAGTCCGTCGCATGTGGACTGTTATACCCTGTGCAGTTGCAAAGTTTCCTGAGTAAAATGCACCAGAAGGTACTTGGGGACGGGGTTAGACTATGTGATTTTCCTTAGGAAGCTGTGCAGGCTAAATGTTTGCCGGGGTCCCTTTCCAACAGCTAGCAGCTGGGAGCCCAGCAGACAGCTAGAGAGGTCAGGCAGGCTGGGTAAGAGGTCCTCAGCATGCCTCATTAGCAACAGAGATGCTGGCTGCCAGGGCAGGCCTTCACCCTGCTAATTTCTCATCTTCTCTCCCCACTGTTATCTTTTGGTAAGTCCTTTATTCACACTGTCTAACTTTCTAGCTTCTCTCCTGTGGGCTTCACGAAAGCCCCACTGCGCTCCAATAGTGTTTTTCTCACCAACAATACGCTCCCTTTCTTCAACCCAGTTTTGACCCAAACCTTCCTAGCTTTCTGGCTCTTCTGTCTTGTCATCAAGCTCAGCTGTGCCGAGCACCGCACGTCTCTGCAGCTTCTGTCTGGCAGTTCTTTGTTCCTCCTAATCAAGCCTGGTTCTTTACAGCATGCAGCAATGGAAAGCCCACACTTTATATGCTCACTTCTTTTTCCCACCATCGGGGGCGAGCATCTTAGGAGTCCTTCTGTCAGGTGGCTGGGATGAGTCAAGGCTGGAGAACAGAAGTGGAGAAAAGCAGAGAGGCACATTACAGTAGAGAGGATCCGTCTTCACTTGACTCCTTAGACCATGGGAGTGGCACTCCATCAGGGTTCCTATCTTCTCGCACCACTGTTTTGATTACTTTCTTGCTTTCCTTGGGCAGAGCTCACTCCAACATGAGTTGGCCCATCCCATTGAAAGGAGGGACTTCACTTCAGTACTTTGACATGTCTATGTCAAATTACATACATGACAGTTGAATGGAATGCAGTACAGGAATTGGCCAAGAAGCTGAGAAATACAGAGTAACTTGAGATGGGAATATCTTGAGCTTTGCCTATGGATTAGATGACTGCCTACCGGGTTAGAGGAGTTATCATGCAGTGTTTATGATATGGTAGTGAGCAGGCTTGAGGAGGCTTTTACAGTCTCCTGTTGATTCACTTGGAACCCTAGGGTGACATTTGCATTTGGCACACTTGACTCCAGGGAGAGGGTAAGACTCCCAATGGGAAAGAAGGAGAGTTGCTGTCCAGTGCCCAGAGGCTGGTGACTACAGCAGCCCTGCTGGGAAGTTTGAGAGTACCCTTGTCCTCTTCGGAAACTGGAGCCATTGTTTTCTTGGTCATTTAATGATGGCTTGCTCCACTGTAGTATAGGTTGAACACTGCCTCATATCCGCTCTCCCGCCTTTCCTGTCACCTTTTCAGTTTCTGTTGTAGCTTGAGGTGGGTGTTTTCAGATCATATCCGAGAGACTACAGACCATTCTGTGGTTCATCCTCTGGCACTGTAGGGATGGATACAGGTGTTCAGGTCTTCCCAGAACTCGGGCCACTGTGGGTAGACAGTGTAGGTGGTATTATTATTGTTGTTATCATTTGTACAAGGATCTCCTAGAATCCGTCAAATGAGTTGTCACCTTTCAGGACTTGAAATCTATTTCATGGGTTGGTGGCTTCAAAATCAGTCCCTGGTCTTATTTTTTTTTTATTCTTACAAAATTATTTATGTATTTTGTTGTATGAAACGATAGATTTAGTAATGACATTTTTGTTCAAGTGTATCGTGTATTTTGATACTCAATCCCAAATAGCACCCCTTCTATTTGCATGGTTAGCATGTGTGTGTGTGTGTGTGTGTGTCTTCTAGTTTCCATACATGAGCAAGAACTTGTAGTATTTGTCTTCTCTGGGTCTCCCTGACTGATTTCTGTGAAGACTATCTAATTGCAATACTAATTACCAGCTCAAGACTAACAAGTTGTAGGCAGCATGGCACGTAACAATTTTTTTTTTTGTATGCAGCAGAAACAAATTCTCCCCTGCTCCCCTAGTCAGAGAGCTGGCTGTTTTTTGTCTTACTGACTCCAGAGACATGACAATGTTAGTTTGCCATAACTCTTCATAAAATCCTTGGAGAAGAGATGTGGTTTTGGACCTTTGCATAGTTCTGTAAGCTTTCACCCTATCAGTTATCATTTTTTCCAGTATAATAATATAAATCTCCACATAATTATACATATTGATTTATAGTAGAGGTAGTCCCAATTTTTAAAGACCCAGCTACATACATCAAAGACCTGGATTCTGATAAACATTAGTCACACAGCTAATTTAGAATGTTCTATAATACTTGGACTTCTCCAGGAATAGTAGCATGGAGGTCACTTCATTTCATGGACCAGAAAGGGTTATAGGAGAACTTGGAACTTGGGAGTGACTTTACAGCATTTTGATGTGAATGACTGCATGAAGTTGAGGAGCTGGGATATTTTGTTTTGGAGCTTCTGTGGGGATGGCCATTCAGTTTTGTGACTTAGGCTGAGTTGGGAGTAAAAATGGTGACATAGATAGAATCTGGCCTTTTCATAGCTTCTGTGACCCAGATTCTCACATCCTTTTACACACCCCTGTCCACAAACTAAACAAAGGTTAAGTTATACAAAGGATGGAAATTCTCTTCCTATACAAATTGGGTTCTTTCCTATCTGAATTGACTCTGGCTAATTGCTCTCTTCAACTCAGAATGAACTGTCCACGGGTCCCAATCTTTTCCCTTTTCTGTGTTTCCTGGCTTGGTAGAAACTCTATGGAGTCATTTTGATCCCTCTCTATGGAAATAACTTGTTCTCTATCTCTCTAAATCTCGTAGCAATTCTATGTGCTTCCTTCAAGCTCTGCTTCTTTTCTGGACCATGTTGCATTATCCCTTGTGCCCTCTAGCTTCCTTTAGGACAGGAATAGAGGATTTTTGGTTTTGTGCCTCCAGAGTGCTTTACAGAAAGCACTAAGTGCATCTGAATGTATCCATGCCCTTGTATAGGTGAGAATCAAGGTAAGTTACTGCGTTGCAATAGGCACTGTTCTATTAGCACACAATACCATCCTGCCAGCCTACATGATGGCCGAGGAGGTTTTCTCATCCAAGTAACAGATTCTAAATCCTGTGTCTCTGTTCTCTGTAGGTTCCCATAAAGTCAGTCTGTCCTCTTGGTACCATGATCGGGGCTGGGCCAAGATCTCTAATATGACTTTAAGCAACGGGAAACTAAGAGTTAACCAAGATGGCTTCTATTACCTTTACGCCAACATTTGCTTTCGGCATCACGAAACGTCGGGAGACCTAGCTACAGAGTATCTTCAGCTGATGGTGTATGTCGTTAAAACCAGCATCAAAATCCCAAGTTCTCATAACCTGATGAAAGGAGGAAGCACCAAGTACTGGTCAGGAAATTCTGAGTTCCACTTTTATTCCATTAACGTTGGAGGGTTTTTTAAGCTCCGAGCTGGTGAAGAGATCAGTGTTCAGGTGTCCAACCCTTCGCTGCTGGATCCAGATCAAGATGCAACGTACTTTGGGGCTTTCAAGGTTCAGGACATCGACTGAAACTGGTTTTGTGGCACATTCATCTGTGTATCCTAGATGTTTGGAAACTTTTCAAAAAAAAAAAAAGATGGAAGATGTATATAGGTGTGTAAGACTACTAAGAGGCCTGGCCCGCACTGTACGGAACTCCGTGTCCTCTCTCTTGGCCCTGTGGAGGTCACGTGTGTGTAAAGATTAGGGGATGCTAGGCTCACGGAGGTTCACAATGGTTTTACAATTTTGTAATGAATTCCTAGAATTAAACCATGTTGGGAGAAGGGTAGTGACACTTGTGAAAAAGCGCACGTGAGCTATGGAAGGGGTCACCGTCTGTGGTTTTAACTCCTGGCAATGTGCCACTGAGAACCTCAAAATTAAGAGGGTGCCATGGTCTGAAGGGTTAAGTTCTTTTGAATTGTTACATCTTGCTGGAACCTGCGAGTAGGTATACTTTTCTAATGAGGAGAGAAATATATATGTATTTTTTATATAATATCTAAAGTTATATTTCAGGTGTAATGTTTTCTGTGCAAAGTATTGTAAATTATATTTGTGCTATAGTATTTGATTCAAAATATTTAAAGCTGTCTCACTGTTGACATATTTAATGTTTTAAATGTACAGATGTATTTAACTGGTGCACTTTGTAACTCCCCCGAGGGGACTGGTAGCTAACGGGGAGGAATACTGTTTCTGGTGGCCACAGGTAGTTCATTTCTTCATTCTTCTTAACTTAATAATGAATACCTTGAATAATAAGCGAGATGTTGGTCACCGGTCCTTTTCAAATTCAGAAGCCAATTGACTTTAGGAACTGAGATAGCCAAGAAGGATACATAACAGGCTACTGAAATCTGTCAGGAGTATTTATGTAATTATTGAACAGGTGCCTTTTCCTACAAAAGGTAACTGTAACACAAATTGTAAATTTTGTGGGTTTTTTTTTTTAAATAGAGAAAGTACTGTGGTTTATCAGCAAAAAAAAAAAATCTACTTTTTTAATCTAGCGAAAGTTATTTTATTATACTGTACAATAAAAGCATTGTCTCTGAATGTTAATTTTTTTTGGTACAAAAATAAATTTGTATGAAACCTGCCTACTGATTTTTGTTCTTGTTCACTTTCATGTGTGTCTTGTTCTGTGATCCTGTTCTTTCCAATATGATAATGCAGCTTCTATCTTTCTCCAAAGGTTACTGGGAGAAGTGCAGATTTAATTAAAAACTAGGAACAGATTCAATTAAATTAATGAACCTTGGAATTTGAAAAATAATTTGCAAGGGATTTGTATGCAAGGATGTAGCTGGAGAGAAAACAGTCTCCTCGCTCATAAAAGAAAAGTTTGTATCATGACAAAAATATGGAGCTTTGACTTAGGGAACCTTAGGGCATGTCTCCTTTACTGCAGTAAAAAGGGACTCACTTAGGCCTGGACACATTTTCTCACGGAAATCTGTGTGGATGAGCTGTCTACACCATGCTGGTTATTCACGAAGGGCAGAGACAGGAAAACAGCCAGCTTGGGAAAGCACAGGAAGCCATTACTTGAGGTACTTGTCATCTGTAGATAAATGTTTTTATTGGTGATTGTGAGAGCATAGAATGGGGGAGGGAGGAATAGCAGATGTTACAGAGAAGAAATCATAAATTTTAAACAGCAGCATTAGAATGGTGGGACTCCATAGTGTTGACCAAAATACATCTACTATTTTACATCTGTCAGTAAACCTCAAGTTTGAACAATGCAAAAACATGACTTGGGTGCTATATATCCTGATGGCTGCTGCTTAGTTTAAGGAAGAATTTCCACGAGCAGTGGCGTTACTGTAGCTTTCACAGACAGAGAATCTTGCCACTGTCTCATTAGCTAGCCAGCTTGGAACCTGGTCCTGCAGTTTTCACTTGTTTCATATTCATTGGTTGAAAATCAGTGAGGTGCTAAGCACAGTGCCAGCCACCACAGTTCTGATGGCAGTTCTCTCAGCCAGCCCCGGGGCTTCCGGTCAGGTGGGGTGTCAGCTTATGCTAGACTGGACAAGAAGTATGTCCTTGTTTGATCCCAAACCGTGGGAATCCCAGAGTCTAACATGGAACATCAGATAGGAAGTGGAGGAAAAGCCTACAACATGAATATAGATTGTCAACTGTTTATTTTTACTTGGGGGGCAGCGTGTCAGTTGCGTGCTAACTTTTGCGATAAAGCTGAGGAGAAAGATTTACTCAGGCTCAAGATTTTAGAGATTTTATTCTGTCATACTGGGGAGATGGCGGTGGAGCAGAGCAGCGTATAGCGGGACCACCAGGAAGCAGCCAGCCAGCCTAGCTGCAAGAGATTCTTCCGCTTGGTCCTCTCAGGAAATGCCCATGCCCGCACAGTCAGAGGTGTGCCTTCTCAATCCAAACCAGGTGACACTCAAGATCAGCCACCAGGTGCAACCAACTTGCCGTCTCTCAAAGATGCAGGAATAAAGAGCCAGGCTCTCCTGAGGTGATTCATGGGGGACCATCCGAACTCTGAAAGCAGCAGTCTCCATTGAAGACCTGGGGAGTTCAGGCACATCATGATGTGGGAGGATTTTCTGAACACTTGCACCTGCCTGTCCCAGGGGCTTTTTTTTTTGGGGGGGGGGGGAGGAGGATGACTCAGTGGCATGTTAGAAATCAGTTAGCGTTTCCAAGAGGATGACAGTAGGGTCCGGACACAGCAAGAGGTATGAAGACGACTCCTCTCTGTAATGCCTCACAGATGGCCAGGCTCTGAGCAGCAGGGTCTACAAAGCTGGGCGGGAGCAGACAGGTGTTTCCTGCTTTCTTCTTTTCCTTCTGCTTTGCCTTCTCATGCACCTCTTTCTCATTTCCACTCTCTGCTTTAATCCTCCTATCCTCCTCCAGACTTCTAAGTCTCTCATTGTCCTAGTTTTCTTTCTGTTGCTGTAATAAATACCATGACCAAAGCAACCGGGGAGAAAAGGGGCTTGTTTGGCTTACACGCCCCAATTACAGTCCACCAGAGAGGGACGTCAAGGCAGGGGCAGAGGCAGGAATCTGGAGGCAGAAATTGAAGCAGAGACCATAGCGGAGCCATGTTTACTGGCTTCCTTAACATGCTTTCTTATACAGCCCCAGACCTCCATTCCAGGGGTGGGACCACCCACAGTGACGTGGGCCTTCTCACACCAATCATGAATGGAGAAACTGTCCCACAGACTTACCTGGAGGACCTGATCTGATAAAGGTGATTCCTCAGTTGAGGTTTCCTCTTCCCAGATACATCTAGGTTTGTGTCAAATTGGGAAAAAACTAACCAGCACACTCATGGTCCTTAGGGAATAAGGAGGCTGTTGTGTCTCACTTAGATGAGTCTAGAGTGTGTCCCCTGCCACAGCTGAGTCAATGGGAGGTGTGACGAAACAATGCCAGGAGACCTTGTGTGTCGGATGTAGCGGGTTTGAGCTGCTGGCTCATTTTACCTGCTGCATTTCAGCCCTCCTAACCTGCCAAGTCTGGGGAAGGAAAGCATGCCAAGTCTCAAGTTATCTGTCTTCCTGAATCAATTTTTACAACACACCAGGCCCGTGCTTCCAAGCCTCTCTCTAAGAGTCGACATGGAGATGAAGTGCTTCTTACTTAGAGTACTTGCTTCCCCTGTGTTCTCTCGCTCTCTTTTATCTCATTCTCTTTCATTTTTTTTTTAAATTGTCTCATTATGTACATTGGTGTTTTGTCTGCACTGTTGTCTGTGTATCATGTTTGTGCCTGGTGCCTTCTGAGGCCAGAAGAGGGTATCAGATGCCCTGGAATTGGAGTCAGGTTGTTAGCCAGCACTAGGGTAGTGAGAACCGAACTTGGGTCCTCTGGAAGAGCAGTTAGTTCTCTTACCTGCAGAGCCATGTCATCTCTCCAGCCCCCATCTCATTCATTTTTATTAGGCCACCTTGGCATTTTCCCTGGGGAGGTAACCTAGTTCCTTGGGTGATCTGGCAGGAAGCAGAGCGCCCCGGACCCATCCTTTCCATCTGTGTGTTCTGATGGGGTTGGTTTCACAGCAACACTACTATACTGTATGCTTTGGAGACACTGGACATTGACTCACTTTTTGATCTAACCCTTGGCCTCTAGGGTCACGATGGGCACACCACGCGCACATTCCCTTTGCTTTGTCTTTGTTAATTGATTTTCCAGCTTCTTTGCTGTGAAACTGAAACATGTTCTCGGTAACTGAAGTTATAAATGCTAATTAGCTATTGACTTGCATTATAATGATTCAGCCTCATGTTACCGTGTACACATGTTATATTTCAGCTGTAAAACAAGTATTCTTTTGATTAATAACATGCTTATGACAATCTTCTTTTGCTCTTTTTAAACCTTAAACACTTAGTGCGCGTGTGCATGCGCATGTGTTTGTGTATGTATGTGAGACACAGAGAGAGAGAGAGAGACAGAGGCAGAGAGAGAGAGAGAATATGTGTCCTTTTTGTTCAGGGGCCTCTCTGTCCTTTGGAAATTGAACAGTTCCATTATAGGCCACTGTGAGTAGCCTGACATGGGTCCCAGGAACCAAATTCAGATTCTCTGTAAGAACAGGATGTACCCCTTAACAGTTAAGCCACCTCTACAGTACCCCCCCACCTTTTTAACATTTTGTTAACTTGAAATTCTATATATACCTTGGTCATTTCTCCTCTTTGTTTTTTGTTGTTGTTGACAAATTTACCTTAGGGGTCTTAGTACAACGGCATTTTAACCAGCATTTTGGCTATTTTGCTTAAATTAGGCATGGCCTGAACCAGAAGGACTGGCATCTGAGGACAGAAAATGGATGTCCCAGATCAAGCAAATAGGTCCTCAGCATCTTCTTGCTTTGCTCAGACCCTCAGCACATCAGCTGCTGCACATCACACTGGGGAAGACTATCATGGCTCCACTAATCAATTCCAGAAATACCCTCACAGACACACCAAGAACAAGTGTTTTACTGTTTGTCTGGGCATCCTATAGTCCAGTGGATCTGGTCATAAAATCAACTACCATGCTGCACTGAGGACAGTGAGTCACCTTACACATAGCTTAGGTAGCTATTTTGAGAAGCCCAAATGCACTTGAACGATGGCAATATCGCTTCTCAACTTGATGCGATTGTCATGGAAACAAATCTCTGATCATGCCTATGAGAGAGAATCTGGATTAGGTTCGTTGAAGTAAGGAGGCATGCCTGGAGTGCAGGCAGTACCATTCACTCACTGGACTGGAGTCTCCAACTAAATGAAAAAGGAGGAAGCAGGCTGAGCACAAACATCCATCCTCTTTGCTTCCTGGCTGGGCACGGTGGCCAGATTTCCTCCTGCTCTTTGCACCATGACTCCCCTGTCACGATGGATTGTACGGCTGACACTGTGAGTGAGCCCCTCCCCCCTTTTTAAGTTGCTTTGGTCAAGTATTTTGATGCAACGATGAAGAAAGTAAGTACCACGGCGTGGACCATCTGTGTGTGCCGTCTCTTCCCTAAGCGTTTCTGTCTT